ATGCTCGCATTTTTCTCAATGCAATCAATAACCCCAGTCTCAATTTTCCAAAACCACCACCAGGTAGTTAATTTTTTTTATACTAAGTACATGGCAAATAAATATTGTATTATATTATTTTTATGTACATAAATAGGTAAGTATTATTTAGTTGATAAAGGTTTTCCAGAAAGACTAGGGTATCTCACACCTTACTTCAAGACAAGGTATCATCAAACAGAGTTTCGTGCTACAAATCCAAGGGGATCTCGAGAAGTGTTTAATCGAGCGCATTCATCTCTAAGAAGTTGCATTGGAGTTCTTAAGGCGCGGTGGAGAATTTTACAAAAAATGCCCATATATTCATTACGTGACCAGAATAAGATAATTTGTTCTTGTTTTGCACTGCATAACTACATTCGGAAGAGCATGATTGGGGATCCAGGTTTTAATATCATTGACCGAGATCCAGATTTCATACTAGATGATATATTTCGTGACGTTGAGTCTACTTCTGGACAAGGCGTTGAACATATGAGAGTCCGTGAAATGACAGTGATTCGTGATAATATTGCATATATTTTGATGGCAAGGAAAAGACGTTCATAGAGAAAGAATAGTATGATTTTTTAGGATATGTTATCGTTACGATTAAGTGACTGTTGGTATTTTGATTATGGTGACATTATTATTTAAATGCAATTTTTACTTTTGTTGGACAACTTTTCTTAATATATTTTTACTTATAACTCCATTTATTTGTCAAGTTATCATTTAAATTTATTAATACATGAAAAATTGTTTTAAAGAATTATTACTTTTCTTATTAAGTTTTTATTTTTTTAATTCATAAAAAAGGTTTAAGTAGTACTACTACTAGCATCAATATTGTATGATACGTACATAAAGTGTCTTACGTATATATATAAATGTCCACAATAAAAAAAATTAATTAATGTCCTTAAAGGTCATTTGATAAGTTATCAGCTGATTGTAAACAGTCATTTTAACCAAACATCATTTTACAAACTGTTAATAATATCAGCTAATCAAAACAGCCAACAGAAACTGCTATCATAAAACAGCTGACACAATCGGCCAACAGCCAACAGCCAATTGCCAAACACTGTATTTTAATGGAAATTTGTTGTACTGGACCTCTTTTTTCATTCCCACTTCATTCATTTATTTGTAGATTTAGGTACTGTGTAAACCTAATGCGAAGGTTGATATTTCATACTTCATGTCGAAGATTTAGAACATGACATACTACAATGGCTTCCCTTAAAGCAAGTCATTTTTAGAAAGAGTTTCCATGCCTATTGTTCTCAACTCTCAAGTAAACAGGTAGAACTGGTCTTCTAGGGATATTCTATATCATCATTTTCATCATTTTCATTTATCCCAGTGCCGCAAAGGCTCCCACCTACGGTGGGGTAAGGGGGGTCGGATGTACGCAGTCTTACTCCTGTACTCAAGCACATAGAGACGGTTTCCGGATGATCCATAGTGAAAATCGCGTCCAAAATTGCATGGACTGACTGCTGCTTCATAACAAAGAAGCGCAGACAGTTTAGTGAGTCATTTTGCTTTATTCCATTATATTCTCAAGCCAAAAAATAATGAATCTTTGGCTCCATTGCAAATGATGGAAATAGGGATATTCTATATACAAATGGAAAATTTATAAATACTTGAATTGTGCAATGATATGATTAGATCTTATGAAGTTAATAATGTATTATATCTTATAAAGTTATAATGAACTGTTTGTTTCATGGTTCTTGATCAATAGTATACTTGATCTAATTTTAACAACAAGCAAGATGAAAGTGTGTTTCAGAAGTTGTTTAAATGAGTCAATTTTTTTTATTTCCTATTAACTATCATTTTTATTTTGTTTTATTTAATTTTATATCTTCAGTTAGATTTAATCACTATCAAATTTTTTACTTTATAAAAATTTCATCTACACTTACAAGTACGTACTTTACTCCCGTGCAACGCACGGGTGAAGTTACTAGTACATATAAGAAATAAAACATTGATTTCAATGAAAATAAGGAGTCTAGTTGCTCAATTACTTTATGTAAATAGTGAATATGCAGGTCACCGGTCTGTTGTACAAAGACGCCTCATATAGTTTAGATTATTTTGGAATTACTAATATTTGGATTAATATGAGAAGATTGTTAATAGTTGGGTTTATTCATTTGAATCTTTTTCCTTTTTCTTTTCTTTCTTTAATTCATTTGGGTCTAATGCTATGCTAAAAAACTGTTGTATAATTAGAAAAAACTGTTGTCTTTATTTTCTACAACAGTTTTAAAACTGTGGTAATGTAAGACGTTGGCTCTACTTTTGGAAACTGTTTTTTTTTTGTTTAAAGGCAACACACACAAATAACCATACTAGTAAGTACAACATAGAGAACATTTTTTAAAAGTATGTAAGGCAACAATTTTGAGCCGTTTTTACAAATGGCAACATAAGAGAACTGTTGCCAAAATATTTCACATTTTTTACCATTGATACTAATTACTAAGCAAGGAGTCTATCTTTTCTAAAATGACAATCTAAAAAAATGCAACAGTATTATTTAACTAATAAGTTTTAATGGAATATCAGAATTTCACTTTTTGCGACAAAAAATAGTCTATAGTAATCACTTACAAATCAAAAGTCAACAAAATTATATCCTAACAATCACAATTCACGGCTTTTAGTTTAAATCATCACAATGAGAGTGTCTTAGTCTCCAAGTTTAAAATCACAATAGCAAAAAGAAAATAAACTTCATCAAATCACTTGTTGCTGTCAATGTTCATCTCTTCATCTCCACTTTCATCATGATCATCATCATACCATTCATCTGCAAAAAGCATCAATAAACCCAGAGAAACACATATGTATCAAATACTGAAACAAAGCAATAGAAAACATAAGGATAGAAATAATCTAATATGCTATTAGTCGATCTATAAATTTGCATTGCACATTCTAGACTTCATCTTCACACAAAACCCAACAAGAATCCCACGCGGCTATAATCAAGGCGTCTCTCTTCTCCACCATCGCACATTTCCCCCTCCAGCAGCCATCGACGCAAGACACGAATCCCACGCGGCTATCTTCTTCGCTGCATCTTACCTCCATCGTCAACCACGACTTCACCACCAACGCGACGCCATCAAAGCAGACGGAGACCACTAGTGCAACGCCATCGAAGAAGACAGAGCCCATCAGTACGACGACGACAGAGATGGTCTGCATCGGCGACGAAAGCGTCATCTTCGCTGCTTCTCTTCGCCATCTCTGTTCAGATCTGTTGTTGATTTCAGATCTGTGGGAGTTCCAGATGGGCTATGGGGGCCAGGGCAAAGATGGTAGTGGTTGTTGGGGCAAGGATGCGTTGTTGGTTGGTGTTAGAGGCGGATTCGGTTATGGAGGGGTTGTTGGGTGGCGCTGGAGGCGGATTGGGTTGGGGTAAGTTGTTGGTCGGGGCTGGGGGCGGATTTGGTTGTGGCACGTTGTTGGCCGGTGCTGGAGGTGGATCTGGATGTGGCAGGTTGCTGGGCGGCGAAGGGCGGCGCTGGGGAGGTGGCTGAAGGCTAGGAGGGGGCTGGGAAGGGCTGGGGAGGTGGTTGGGGTCTGGGGAGGTGGTTGGGAGGGGCTGGAGGATGGGGGGGTGGGCAGGTGAGCCAGGGCTGGGGCAGCGGCCAGGGGATGGAAGTGGTGGGTGGCGGTGGCATCACTGTGGCGTGTGAATATGGCTGAGTAACTGTGATCGGTGGTGAGTTGGCGGGGGAGGGGGGGGCAACAGTGACTGGTCGAGGAAGTGACTAGTGGACTCACTTTGGGCGGAGTCAATTTGGCCAGAGTCACTACGGCGGCAGGGCAGTCACTATGGCGGCGGGGCAGTCACTGTGATTGGTGGGGTAGTCACTGTGGTCGGTGGGGTCACTTTTGCCATAGTCACTTTGCCCGGAGTCACTTTACACTGCAGGGTTAATTATGATGTTGGTCACATTTTTGGAATTTCAAAAAACAAATCACTTTTCTTAATCTTTTATCCTATTTTTAGTAATATTGGAATAAAAAGGCCTTCATAGTTTCACATAATGGATAAAACTAATAATTAATACCTAGGAGATAATATCAATAATCTGTTATCTAATGCATAGGAGATAATACCAATACTATTAATTAATACGTAAATCTCCTACGACAATTAAGTCATAGATAATATCGATAATAAGAACATCCACATTCATGCTTCTAACATAATCTGATTTTTTGTGATTCTTACCTTTTAATATTTGCCACATGAATACTATAGGAATAATCTCATCCCCTCCGAATTACCTTCTACCATCATCCCGAAATAGTCTGATCTTTTGTGGGTCTTGTAGTAACTAATTAACTCTAACTTCATATATAAATAATCCCAATATAATCTAGTTTCATATTTTGATCTCAGATTATTCTATCCACTACAAAAAAACAGGGTTGTAGTCATGGACGTAGTGTTAAAGATCCGTGACTAAACGGATTAGTCACGGATTTAGTCGTGGACGGAACCCGTGACCAAACGGGCGTGACTAAATTTAGTCACGAGTTGTTATCCGTGACAAAGATTTGTCACGGCCCTTATCCGTGACAAACTTTATTTATTTTTTTCAAAATTTCAAAATTTCAAATTTTCAAATTTTCAGATTTTCAAATTTTCAAATTTTTTATGTTGTCACAGACAGCATCCGTGACTAATATTTTTAATTTTTTTAAAAATTAATTTGTATTTAATTTTAAAAATAATTTAAAATCAACATTTGAAAAACCCGGACAAAACATTCGTCATGGAACGGATCCGTGACAAACGTTTTAAATTTTTTTAAAAAAATTAATTTTTATTTAAAATTTATATATAAAAAAATTATCTTTAAAAATTTATTTTAAAAAAATTGTTGTGGAATTATAACAATTAAATAGAAGTGAAATTCATACACATTTAATCACTAGTAATTTAATAAAAGTACTACGTAATTATAACAGATTGGAATTATAACAGTAATATAACCGATGTTCAATTTAAATTAAAAATGTATTATTACACATTGTTTCACGGATATCCGTTATGATAAAATCTAGGATCATCAAATTCATCATCATAATCAATTAGATAATCCTCTTCGGGCTCATCGGGGTCTTCGAGTCGGGTGCCTCCTCAGTTGTCTCTTCTCCTGCCTCTTCTGCTGCCTCCGCGGCTGCCTCTTCGGCTGCTGCCTCGGCTGCCTCTTCGGCTGCTGCCTCGGCTGCCTCCTCCTCTGCTGCCGCGGGTGTCTGAAACTGGTAAGAATTATAATCCATATTGCCCATGTGCGGAACTTGAGGAGTCGTCTCAGGGTGCCTTATATACATTTCAGGCCGGTATCCGGCGTTGAAGCGATTCATTTGCTGTTCCATCGCTTCAAGCCGGGCTCTTGTTCTTCGGCCCTGTTCCCGTTGCTCCTCCAATTCTCGCTGCAGTTGGGCAATACGTGGATCCTCTACCCTCGATCGAGAAGATGAAGCTCCGTCACGGTTGTGCAAAATCCGTAACCCCTCGGCCCCCATGCACGGAACCCGACCCTTGTACACCCCGGCTGCCTCAAGCATCGCCTCATCATCTGCATCAGAATCGAGCTCGATATCTGAGTGAGTCAAGCCTAACTCAGCACGTTTCTTCCCAACCTGTGCCTGATACTTTGTCTACATGTACAAAATTTGTTGAAATTAGGATCATCTTTATTTGGAATTATATTAAATAACTTAAGTGAGTTATTTACTTCAAGTTCGGCGATGCGAGGTGGCAGTTCGGCTTCCGAATTATCGCCGCCCTTCGTCCAGCAGTGCTTGATCACTTTTAGGATCGAGACCTTCTTTTTCTCAGGTCCCACCTACATGGTTTGTAAATTAGTTAAAAATTAAAAATAATTGTAAAAATGTGAGGGTTGTAATGGTGCAAGGTTTTTTTGAATAAGAACTTACCATAGTTTCTCTATGTTTACTCTGAGGTTTGCGGCCCCCATGCCATTGTGTTTCCATGGCCTTCTCGGACATCCGGTTTTTCTTACCGGCTGCGCTTTTTTGCGCAAATTTTGGATCCAAAGACCAATGGCGAACAAGGCTATCCCACACTTCATCAGAAGCCCATCCAGGCTTCTTCCCGCTCTTTCGGGCACGCTTAAAAGTGGGTACAAGCCATGTAGAGACCCTTTTATTATACGCTCTCAAAACAGCAGCGCCCTGTGCTTCGGTCCATCGATGTTGGGCCTTTAATAAAAAATTTATATATTAATTTATCATTTATCAAATTTTAAGTTACTACATTTACCCCAAGAAAATTCATTTGTTTTTACCTTGAATAGGTTCCACCAAAGTTCCCGGACCTTGGGGTCAACATCCGTGTAGCATGCCCAATTCCCCAGAAAATGTCCGCCAACTATGAGTTTGATTCGATCCAACACTTCTTGATCGCTTCAAAAAATTAATAATATTTATTTGTAGATGTTTTGATTACATTATTTGACATTAGAAAAAATTATTTGACATTAGAAAAAGTTCATAATTAATTACCTTTCAACCATTTGGGGTGTCACCCAAGCCGCATTTTCGTTGTTGCGCTCGGCTTCCGTTAAGGGGGCGTAGTTCGGGCGGGCACGGGAGGTTGATTGTTCATTACTCATCTAAAATTTATTAATTTATGTATTAAAATGTTAGTGTGATTATAATAGAACATCAAATTTTTTAGAAATTTTATTAATTAAAAAATGTGTATAACATATTAAATTGTGTATAAGTTTAATATATAAGAGGGCTCGTAATTTTTTGAATTAAATTTTTTATAACTTTGAAACAATACATTTTTGTATTGATTGCTCTTAAAGGTAGCAAGTTAAACTTTTTGACAAGTTTACATGAGGGGACATATTTTATTTTGATGTTTTCTAAAAATCAATTTTTGTATGTACATGAGTTATTTTATAGCTTTTTATAAGAAAGTTAATACATTAAAAATTAGTTTGACACATCAAAAATTTAGTTTTTTGTATTAAAATCAGTTTTCGATAAACTTAGTGAACTTAATTTTTTGTGTTAATTTATTAAAAACAGATTTAAACTTATTAAACTCCATTTTTTTAAAAAATCAGTTTATGAATTAATAGTTTTAGAAAAACAGTTTAATATTTCGAATTTTTTTTTTCATAAACTTATTGAATAATATTTTTTGTATTAATTCATTAAAACACATTTTTTTTTGTATTTATTCGTATAACATTTTAGAAAACAGTTTCGAAAAACAGTTTATATATTATTTTGTTTTAATTTGAAAAAACAGTATAAATCACGTTTTAAATACATAAAACAGTTTAATATTTGACTATAGTTTTATAAATAAAAAATTTTAATTTAATATATTATTCTAAACTTAATTTCATTATATATTAAACAGTTAAAAACAGGTTTTTTTGTTTTTTTTAAATTAATTTTGAAAACAGTTCGTTTTTTGTTTATTATATATTTTGTAAATAAATAATTATACATGTTAAACTTTTTCCAAGTTTAACATGAAGGGGGCAATTTTTTTAAAATAATTAGGGAATATGTTTTAGAGAAAATTATCCATCGTAAGACCAAAACATAACCTATTTCCCAATAGGTATTAGGTAGTACGTACTACGTAGTATATGACTTGGTCTTTTGTTTTCCCATTTTGACGTGCCTATGCCTTTCATGGTCATTTATGGTGATTTTTATTTTTCTTTATTCCACCTTTGCCCTCAAGGCCTCAACAGTTGAACTGCTTAAGGGTTGGTTTGCAACTACTTTTAAAAAAGCACTTCTCAGCTTTTTGCTTTAAAAAAACACTTATTTTCCCAAACACTAGAACTTTTATTTTTCTCGGCTTCCGCGTCAAAAGTGTTTTTACTTTTTCTATTACACAAAAAACACTTATTTTACCAAACACTACTCACTTTTACTTCTCAAAATCACTTTTTTCTCAAATACTATCAACTTTTATTTAATCACTTCTTCTCATTTCATTAAAAAAGCACTTTTTTAAAAGCAGAAGCTGTTGCGAACAGATCCTATGTTTCTCGCTATGGTAAAAGATGGGTTTGACTATGGTAACTGCTGCTACTATCATTATGCATTTTTGACACCTACAATTCATCATACCTAATTACCCAGTACGCCATATAATTCACTCTTAATTACTTCATTAGTCTATTCTTTCCTTCCACAACTTTATTTCTTCATATTTTAATGCCCTAAAACATGCTCCTCAACTGGAAAAAAAAGTATAGACTCCTATTACGTAGATCCAATTCCATAAATTACTCTCGTCCCCATTTCTCATTCTTCACTGCCATCCTTCATTCACAATATTTTTTTTCAATTTACTGCCTTATATTCTAACATTCAATCCTTCATTCTTTACTGCACTACATTTCAACATTATTTGATATTCAATAACTCATTCCATAAATCATTTACTGCCCTATTTAGTTATCCACAAATTAATGCCCTCACTCACTAATTTGCATTTTATTGCCCAAACTCGGAATATTCACTAAAAAAATACTGTATGTCTAAATGTCACAAACAACTATATATCCATGTCTAAGCATGTCGTGGGAACAAAAAAAAGAAAAAAGATGGTGTCCGATTTTACTGCCTTAACTCCGCCTTCTTCTTTTCGGCATCACTTTCATGCTTTCAATTCAAAGTTTACTATCATACGGCATTTGTATTCGTGAATATACGATCACAGAAGAAAGTTATATCCTTATTATGTTTCTCGCAATAAATTCTCTCACTTGAGCCCAATCGCATTTACTTTCTCTTTCAAATCACAATTCCTTTTTATTAAAACTCTTCCAGTCGGACACATTAGGGCATTGAAGTCAATTTGTCTCATTTTAAAATGCACGTGACTCATCCATGGTGTTTCGTACTCATATAATCATATTCCCATAATTAAACTTTTTGGTCATATTATGGGAAAGTCCTCATCTTTTAGTAATATTGCCATATTTTTCCCTTTCTTTTAATATATCTATTGAATAATACGGAGTATATTGATATATTACAAAATAATAATAGTCCTAATAAATGTCCAAAAAATTGTATTGAGCATGCTTCATTATAAGTCTGAAAATAATTCCCAAAATAGCCGTAAAACATTCGAATATTCATGCATAAGATTTAAACAAAAAAGAATTCATGTTTAAGCATAGATATTGGACATATAAACAAAAAAACAAATTGTATCAAACTATAAAATAAGCATGCTATTAAACATCAAACTAAAAAAAAAAAATTATCAACTTTAAGCATGCAAATTAAGTATTCTACAAACACATACTACGTATTTTACTAAATTCAACAAATAGAACATGCATATTGAAAATTAAAGTATACATTTGAGTATATACATCATGCTTTCGTGTATATTAAAACAAATAAAGCATGCATATTAAATACGAAAACAAATTAAAGTATACATTTGAGTACATACATATGCATTTTTTAAAATTTTAAAAAAATTATAATTAATTATTAAAATACAAAAAAAACAGAAGTTTAGAACATAACCTTGATGGCGGTGGAAGGCGGATGATGGCGGATGGCGGTGGTGCTGGTCACGGGAGTGGAATGCAGAGGAAGGGAGATGGGAGAGAAGGGAATTGGGAATTGGAAGCGTAGGTAAAAAAAAAACTAAGTGTCATATATATAATGGGCTAGTCACGGACCTAGTCACGGATTCCTACGTGACTATCGCCTCGTAAATAACGAAGGCAGACATGCAGACGAGGTGGCAGAGCCGCCTTTGACCGGACTAGTCACGGACGGATCCGTGACTACACCGTGACTAATTCAAAATTTTTAATTAGTCACGGACCTAGTCACGGATGGATCCGTGACTACACCTATTTTAGCCTCTAGTTCTCGTTCTGATTAGCCTATCCGTGACTACTCCGAATCTGGAACACGTTAGCTACGTCGTGATGGATTAGACTAAAGTCTGACTACTTTAGCCTGTACTGTCGGTTTCATTTCTGACTCATTTAGAAAAAAAAAATATCAACATTATTTTTCTGATTAATTTTTTTTGTTTTTGTTTTTTTTCCTGACTCATTCAGTATTCTGTGATCACTTAACAAAATAAATCAACATTATTACTAGTTTACTACTAATGATCGGAGTTAACAAAAATTATCTCAAAAATAAAATATACGGAGTAATAAATTAAAATCTTAATTACTAAATTGATTTACGCACTTACGCGATACATTGTACATTTTTTTATTACGTACTCCAAATATGCAACTAGGAGCCCGTTTGGAGAACTCTGTTTTCGACTTATCAGGCTTATCAGTCAGCTTTTTCACCAAACACATAACTTTTACTTTCGCGCACTGAATTGTGTAATAAGCCGAAAAAATAAGGTTGGAGTTACTTTTCTGGCTGTGTTGGCTTAAGTTACTGTAGAGGACCATTTTAGCTATTTTTACATATAATTTTTTCTTTAATTTATTAATAAAATATATTTTTAAAATATTTTTTTCTTAAATCAGCAGAATCAGCCAAAACAGCCACTTCAGCCAGAATATCAAAAATTTCAGCAGAATCAGCCAAAACAGCCGATTTTGGTGCTACCAAACGGGCTCTAGCTAGGGTACGGTGTCCCCAATATAAATTTTGGAGGATTTTAATATAGTTTAGAATTTTTAGAATTTAAATGCTTTTTTATTTAAATTACTGTGGAATCTATAAAAATAAGGGAAAAATAATTAAAATATCTCAAACTTTGGAGGGGTGTGAGACGAACATCCCTAACTTGCATATGTCATTTAAATATGGGAAAAGGGGCAAATAAGCCCTCGAACTAACCAAAAAAGTGCAAATAAGTCCTTTTGTAGGAGGTTTCGTCCGGCCATCGTCATTTGAGGAGGTTCCCGGTGGAATTTTTTGATGAGTTTTTTTGAGAATCTTATTCATTAAGTCTAGTTTACTCATATCGAATTTCAGCTAAAAATTCAATCGGGAAGACAGTCAAATGAATTTTTGAAGATAACTGCGTAGTTAAACAACACAGTATATTTCGGAAAATCATTTGAGTGCCTTCCCGGTTGAATTTTTAGCTGAAATTTGATATGGCCAAACTAGACTTAATGAAGAAGATACTCAAAAAATTTCATCAAAAAACTCTACCGGGAACCTCTCCAAATGACGGCGACCGGACAGAACCTCTTACAAAAGGGCTTATTTGCACTTTTTTTATTAGTTCGAGGGCTTATTTGCCCCTTTTCCCTTTAAATATCTCAAATTTTACACAAGAAGTCATTTTGACACCATAGTCGAGTAATATTTCATTCAAAAATGTAAGTTTATAATGTTAATTATATAATTTAAAATATTTTAAAATTAATGAAGACACAATTATTAAATTAAAGAAAGAATCCTAAAAATGGAGTCCGTGTTTTAGCACTAGACATCAGTACATCACCACCCTCGCTCTGGTCAAGTGGTCATAGCTGCTAATTATTACTGAGTAATAAAGAAAGAATTCTTTCAAAGCAAATGGAGTCCGTGTCTAGATAAAATATACGGAGTATTGAAAACATGATTGTGTGTACAAATTTTTACCCTTATGATAAAACTAATTATGTGGACTGTGGACAATCTAATTATGTGGAAACTAATAATAAAACATGTAACATGTTCAAATATAGAAATTGTTACATATCGATCAGTTTATTATTATACGTAAAATAGAAAGCATTTTGGGAACATAATTACGGCACTTGCTATTTTGTGGGAGCAGCTCACAGCGAGCATGCTACTCCCACAGAAAAAATGTGGGTTACCGTTCACATGCGGGTTAATGATGCAACTCATGTGTAAAGAAATGTAACAAATACTAATAAAAATGTAACTGCAGATTAGTCAACATGTAACTTGTCTAATACGGATACGAAATAAAACATTGATTTCAATGAAAATAAGAAGTGTAATTGCTCAATTACTTTACGTAAATAGTGAATATGTATGTAACACCCCCAAATTTATACCCAAAATAGATGCTAAATGTAGCAAGTGTAGAAAGAATTTCCCAAAATATTCAATTCAAAAGAGTTTAAATTGCAGCGGAAGCATAATATTCAATGGGGTGTTACCGCCACACTCGGTTCTCACTTAACCGAATGCACAGGCTAAACCATCATCCAAAAATAGTCCAAGTATTTAAAGATTTAAATCTCGAAAACAAATTTAATGACTACATGTTCTCAAACTGAAATAAACACTAACTAGGTGATCATAGATACTAAACTACATGATCTAACGCAGCTCTCAACATCAAGCATAACCTTCATCACCTGCACAATTAAAGTGAAAAAACAAAACAAAGAAAAAGAAACAAAAATTAGCTTTTTAGCTAAGTAAGACCCACCCAACCCCGTAAAATAATATAATTTGCCAAAAATAAGTTTTTGTACATAATATAATCTCAAAAATCCATATACTCCCAAATTACTCTTTTTGAATCTAAAACAATCCTTAACATGTAAAATAACATTTAAAAACCAATAATATATATCCATAATTCGAGTACAAACTTACAATTGAAATAATATTTCTAATACGTCAAAGAATTCACATCCCAACATATGAGTAAAATATCATTACCACAATATCACATTCCAAAATTTCCGCATTCCAAAAGGTCACCTTCCAAAAAAAAATCTCCAAAAATAGATTTCTAAAAATATATCACACGAACAATATAACTTTTCAAGGATACATCTTCCCTAAAATTTAAGTCTTCAAAAATACAACTATAAACAACATAGTTTTCCAAGAGTGTTTAACATTCCAAAACGACTCATTCCACCAATACCACTTCCCAAAAAAAATATATAATTAAACCTCAAAGTTTTCGGTGATTACCGACCCACCATAAAAATTCATTCAATAATAATCCACCAAAATCACTTTAAGTAAGAAAGACACTTTTGTACAAATCCATATTCCAATACTACTTTTCCAAAAACATACTTAATGCTTATCCACCAAAACTCATATCCCCTAGTTGTTTCTAGATTCTTTTAAGGATGGGGGAGCTCCCAAAAAGAGAACCCAAACCAAGCGAATACGTGGTCACCAACTACCACGCATCACCCCAGGTCTCCTGAACGGTTGCACAAGCTACTAAGGTCACCTATGAACCGGCCGATCAACCCGGACCCCACCACCCACCAATTGGAAACTGAACTTATACCTTAAGTGTGCACACCCTCTAAAAAGGGATTCCAAGCCCTCCGAGTAGTAAGAAGTCCAAGTAGTCGAGACCAGCTAAGTCTCTACCGACTACCCAAGAAAAAGATAAAAGTGGTCTAGGTGCTACTACTACCACAAAATCTGAAACCAATAATAATATCCAAGTATCCAAAACCACCAAGGAAACCATCCACCAGATAATAGTAGCACTACCCCAGACCACAGTTATACATTTAACCGGATGTAGAGCCGAACACCACGGATTACTCCCGGGTGCTCAAAATATTCAGAAATCATTTATTACAATTTGGCAAAAGATTTGATACCCCACTTTACAAAAATAGCATCTACCACCACCACCACCAATGTAGTTCATATTTTGCTCCACTTGTCGTTATGAACATGTAGTTCATAGATTACGCGATTATCATCATGAACATCTAGTTCATAGATTACTCACATATCTCTTAACCTCAAAATACCTTCTCATAATATTTATTCCAGATTCATGTCCCAAAAGCATATGCCAAACATCTCCGATTCAAAGTCAAAGTTCACAAGTTAGGGTTTAACCAAAATTAGTTCCAAAATAGTATTTAATACCATATTCAAAATAACCCAATAAGGATATTTATAACTCCAGAATATATATAAACATTCACACCAAATTATAAATTTAAAAGAATATAATTTGTCCCAAAAGATTTTGTCTCACAATACTTTCCAAAAATAGGGTTTAACCCAAACCACCACTTTCCAAAAGTAGCATTTACTACCACCACCAAAATAATCCAATTGGGGTATTATAAATCCATAATATACTTTCACAATAACTAATTATAATAATCTCAAACCATACTTCAACTCATACCAAAACAATCACCACAATTTTCCAATTCAAAAGACAATCCCTCAAAAATCACAATTTTTGCCATATTAAACGGATTTGGTAAATTCACCAAAAGTCACACGTTCATAAATTCAATAAAATCATACATCATCATATCTATAATTTAATAACAGAAATATTCATAAAATTTCACAAAGAAACTTAAATCATAGCACAAACCCTAATTATTACATAATAGGGGCAAAATAGTAGTTTTGGTTGTAATAGTCCTTACCTCGAGGCTAGCAACGAATCCTAAATGTCAAACCTAGCTTGAGAAGTCCCTCACACGTCCCTAGGAATTTATAGGGTCGAAGGATCATAATTTAGGAGAAAGAAATCAAGAAAACGGATGAACGATGCGAATTAGGCAACAAAAACGCTTACCGGAAGATTGGATTATTTGATCTTGTCCTTGGACTCAAAAATCGTGTTGGATATGTTAATATTAAAGTTATGGAAGATATAGAGCTTGAAGAGGCGGTTCTAGGGTTTTTGGAATGAGGAAAATCGGATTAGGGATGTATTTATAGTGAATTTCCGAAGTTTGGTCGAACAAGGACAA